GGACTCAGGAATCATGAAGTGTCTACTTCTGAAGCGAGAATGAGACAAAAAGAGATCGACACTCAAAGAAGATCTTATATTGAAGATAATTTACGTTAAGAAATGATTTTGCTTTTTAAGTTTATTGTGGCTGAGATTATTAGCCCCTTCACGGTAACTGCGGTACTACTCTTTTGCAGGGCAAAACAAAATATTTACATTACAAGTATTTTTTGCATATAAAATGAATAGAAATCTATTGCATTCTAAACACCATAACACAGACAGGGTGCCAAGAGGTTAAAACATTCGTTTTAGTTTGACGTCATAATCGTTGAACGCCGAGGAAATGCAACGTCACAAGCGAAAATCAAAAAATCACGTTCAAATTGACCAGAAGTTGTTACGTCGGCTGATCCATTAAATGTAGCTTACACAAAGGATAATACATAGATTTTTAAATAGAAATCACATTTGCAGTTAAGGTAGAAAGTAAAAAAAATGTAAATATATAAGCAATGAATAGGGTCTGTAAGTCTCGTCACGTGACCTGCGAGATTTAGCGAGAAACCACACTTCCGGGTACAAACAAAATAATGGCTCTTTCGATATTGTATTGGGCAAATTATGTTGAAGGGCTATCTAAGATTAAAAGAAAAAGTGAGGCTGCAGTCGAGTCGGGGCGTGTGTTAAAGTTTGTTTTAGATGAACTGCGGGTCATTTCGGCTAATGTCCAAGCGTCAATGAGAGACACTTCTTACAGAGTGCAGGTAAGCATCTCCGATGTATTCTTTCTCCCGTTTTCAGATCGGTGCACATACTGTTTATTTAGCTATAAAGCTTGATTTAAAGATATGTCTTTATTAAGTTATTCAGAAAATCATTATTTAGCTATTTTTCTCTTTTTTTTTAATTCAATAATTGTTATTTTCAACAAGAACAACAAGAACTGAAGAAGTCGGTTAAAGAGCTTACCATAGCTCATGTTATTTCTGTTGTACTGTATATATGTGCCGACTATAAATAAAAGTTACTTAACTTGACTTGAAGAAGTGTGTGAGCTAATGCTCACTAGTAATACCCCGCTCTGATGTGAATATACTCTATCATATTATTACACACGTTCATTTACAGGCAGATGCACAAATAAGTAGGAAGTTGACACCAGAATCATACAAAACACAATAAGATATCAACATCCTTACTTAGGATTAAAAATATCCAAAGACCTTAAATGGAAAGAGCATATAAATATCATCTCAAATAAAGCCAGTGCCACCTTAGGCCTCCTAAGAAGGAATTTACAGCATGTATGGGAATGTAGGAAAATGGCATACACTGCACTCATAAGATCTATATTGGAGTATGGAGCTATCATCTGGGACTCATACACTACACAGAAAATATCTTAATTAGAATGTATGCAAAGAAGGGGTGCAAGATTCATGATGAAAGAATACAAATTAAGAGAAGATAGTACAATGTCCAAGATGCTCAAAGAACTTGACCTTCCCTTATTACAAACTCGACACCACCAACAAAGGCTGATCTTTTTTTTACAAACTGGTTGAGGGGCAGATACCAGCTATAACACCTGATCAATTCATTAAAAACCACAAAAAAAAAAAAAAACATCAGACCTAAAGTTTATGGTACGGAAAGATGCACAGATAAACAGGAAGTTGACCTCGGATTTGAACAAAAATGAATCCCACCATATGGCATGCCTCAGCAAAGTATGTGGTAAAATTTCAAGCATCTGTGGTTAGTAGTTGCTGAGGAAACTGAGACCAGAAAATTGTTTTGAACAGACACACTGACGGACAGACAGCTACGTGTACTAGACAGACAGACACACAACAGTAAAACAGTATTATAATACCCCCCTCTCCTTTGCATCTTAGTGTAGCAATAGTATTCAACCTTGAACTCTTCCAAAAACAATGTGTGTGAACATTGCAAATTTCTTGTCCTTCAGAGACTTTAAACGCAAAATTCTTTAAACTTTGGGACTATTAATTATATAAAGCAAGTAATTTGTGACCTCATAGTTCTTGAATGAATTGTAAACAGGTCAATTATGATCAACAAGATAATTCATTGAAACTTATTTTTAGATTTTTTTGGAATCTGAAGACAGTGGCCTTATGAAGTCATCAACATGTGAATGCCCCATGGGGCAATATAAATGTCATCATGTGGCAGCAGCACTTTTATTTGGGTAAAAAGACTTCATTTTCCAGGATTATTTTCATAAAATTAAAGCGCATTACAGTAATTTTTATTTACTGACATAGAATTCATAAATACTCGTGGTTTCATATATCATATTTTTTTTATTTTCTTCGTTGTAAATTTAAATTAAAAACATCAGGTGGTCAAGTGCAAGGCAACTATGTTTTTGAGTACAAAATGTATATTTACATTTTTTTTAATTGCAGATACAAGAGGGCAAGCAAAACTGATATTAAGTGTAGTTGGTTGAAACACCCGAAGTCAGCACCACCCAAAACAACAAAAACAATGGAGGAATTGTACCCCCCGAAGCAGCCTGGATATCGGTAATTTTTTTTTACTAGTGCAAACTACAGTGCATGCAAAAACTTATATAACAAAGAATAGTGTAGATTGATGTTGCTTTTATAAATGCATATGCAGAGCTTTGAAACGTGATGTGAATGCAGAGGACAGATTGTTCTTATTTGATCAACTGGGCCAGTTAGGCAGATTTACAGGTTTTCTTTGAATTGGCAGAAGTTGTGTTATATATTCAGTTGTGAAATATTCTGAATAATTTTTTTTTGTTGCAGCTATAATTAAACTGGTTATTTTCCAATTTATTCTGGTTATATTTACATGTTGTTTTTCATGATTTTGTGTTTATAATTTTATGGATATTCTTCCCTTGTTGTATCAGAAGTTTTCCTGCAAAAATTAAAAAGAGTTTATTTTGAGATGAAATGTCATTTGAAAAGAAATGTTTACATTCCTAGGATCAGACAAAGCTGGATGATATAACAATGTAACAGAATGTGACAATCACTTTAAAGACAATTTTTTAATGTATGTAGTAGACAGTTGACTGGAAACGTTTTACAAAAAGCATAAGAAAACAAACTGATACTAGTGATAGTGTACTTTCTTTTACAAAATAATAAACATATTTTTATTATATTTAGCAATGCATTGGATTTTGTCAAAGGAACCAGAAGTTCAGAAATTTCCTGTTTCTCTTGTCCAAGATCTTCTGATGAGTGAAGAATATCTTACTGCTGAATGTAAATCAGCTTACTTAAGGTAATGATTATTGAAGAGATATAATATTAATGAAGAGTCTTCAGTATTAAAAAAAATATCAAATTACTCCTCTGTGAAATGTGATAAAAGAATCAAAGACAAATCATTTACAATAAACTTGATTTGATTTTTCAGAAGTAAACTTGTTGTGTCACAAGAGACTGTTATACAAACTGCCTGGCTTACAATTGGTCAACGTGAAAATGCGATATGGCAAGCTGTCCGCAAGATGCGCTTTACAGCTTCCAACTTTGGGCAAATCATTGGGGCAATTCGTCGAAACAGGTAAAAAAAAGGCCAATGTTTGTTCAGTGTTGTTTGTATTGCATACACTACTAATGTCAGCAATCTTACATGGTGTTTATAATTTTAACCTCCATTGATTTTTTAACAGACTGACTGCATCTCTCAAGAAGAAATTGTTGAGCTCTTACAATCTTGAAAAAAGAGCATCAATCCAGTGGGGATTAACCCATGAAAGAACTGCCATTGAAGAATACAGCAAGATTGGGGAAGTTACCGTTCTGGAGACAGGTAAATTAAGGGTAATTGACTCTCACATTAAAAGCTTAATTAAATACTAGTAAGCTTGTCTGATTAAAACTTGCCTGTTGTTGATGAAAACTACTATATAAGCAGAAATAGTGGGGACATAATTTTTGCATTATTAGCAAGGGTGCTGAGATTGCTAATATTGAATGTCACTAAAAATTAATTGTGTTTTATTTGTGATACATGTAGCTTCTTTAGTGAGCATTTCAAAACACTAAAATTACTTTATGCCAAAAAAAAATAAAATTCCATTTTTTAAGGAGAAATTACTTCATATTTGCATCTCACTGAAATGTCCACGTAAACAGTATTTCTATTTAATATTCTCTAAATTCATTGGACCAAGCAATTTTTGATTTTGTTTTTAAAACCGCAGAAAAGGTGGACATCTTAAAAATATTCAATTTACAGAACTATACATTCAAAACTTTCACAACCTAGGTTTATAAATTTGACAAATTCATGGTATGGTGCTGATTTTCTTTATGAACGAAGAAGCCCAGGTAATTAAGTTACATATTTCCTTTCAAATTTATTTAGCTTTTCCTTTTTCAGGAATTTGGCTGCATGAATCTGGAACTCTTGGGGCCTCCCCAGATGGTTTCATTCAAGGTGAATCTAAATGCAAACCTCATCTCCAAGTGAAGGGACAGGTTACAAGAACACCAGATATTATTGAGGTGAAGTGCCCATTCTCTGCAAAGTCTATGACAGTTAGTGATGCTTGTGCGAACATTAAGGATTTTTATCTTGGTAAGTAAATGTTTGTAAATATATATACATTTGTATCACCTAATATTAACTGACAGGTGTTTCATCTCTCCTGCACAGTTTTTTTTTTGTGTGTTTTCATATTAAGTGTTAAGCTCTTTACAAGTAATATAATACATATTTTAATCATTTTTTCTTCACAAGGAAAAAATTCTCTGTTTCTCCTAAATTTCATGTACATTTCAGTAAGCGACTCAGATGGTGGATTGCACCTCAGAACCAACCATGATTACTGGAATGAGTGTCCAAGGACAATGATATTTGACTGGCACTCAGTGCTGTGATTTTGTAGTGTGGACTCCATTAGATTTACAAGTTGTCAGGATAATGAAGGATCCAGCATGGGAGATAAACATTAATAACATGATTGAATTTTACTTTTTATGCATTTTTACCATTATTTTTAAAGAAGAAAATTACAAACACAATGTCAGTCTTACAAGTTTTTCTTTTAATTTTTTTCATAAATGAGTTTATTACAGATGACAAGCAAAAAAATTTAGATTTGTACCGTTTACTGTATATATAGCAAAATCAACAAATTTTGTGAAAGCATTGTTGTTTTCAAAAGGGTATCAACAACTTCATCATCAATAAAATGTTAAAATTTCAGACTATAATACCATGTTTTTTCTCCCAAAAATTTTAACTACAAAGTAAAATCTAATCAAACAAAAATCTTTTTCCCCAACCAACAAAATAATAATTTTACAATGATTATCAGTAACATAATATTTTAATTTTTGGGGGGCCCCTAAAAACCCTTTTTATTTTTGAACTTGATGGGACAGAGAAATTTTTTTTAGATAAAATACTTAAAGAATGCAGGGTTTTAGAAACACCAAAGTTCAACTATATAAATACTACTCTAGAAGCACAAATTTTCGTGGGAATAAAATTTCGTTGTTTTGTTTCAAAAATAGTTTCGTGGGCATTTAATTTCGTTGATTTGAAAATAACCCTATTCAATATATAGTCTTATAAAATTTCGTGTGGGATTTAATTTCGTTATTTATTGTCAACAACGAAATAAACGAAATTTAATCCCCCACGAACATTTGTGCTTTTACAGTACCTTTGTATTTATATCGTATATCTAATCTAACAGCCATAGAACATTTAGAAACTCATAATATACTAGGTGGGAAAATCAAGCCCTCATAAGATTTAACATGAAGTCTGTCTAAAAATTAATTCTATGTTTAACGTCACCCGCACGCCTAGGTTTCGGAGAAATTGGCACTTTGAAAAAACAAACAAGTCCACATCTTTATGTCTCCTGAGTCACTCAGGTGACCTATTGTTATTGTTTTTCTCATTCTTGTTGTCCTGCGTTAACATTTGAACATTTTCAACTTCTCTAAAACGCTCAACCAATTTTAGCATAAAGCATCTATGGTTGAAGGGGAACAAACGTGAATTTCATGGTCCTTGCACCCCCCCCTTTGGGGTCTGAGGGATGGGGCCAAAACCACTAAACGTGTCACTAACTTTAAACATTTCTTTACTCCTGGACATCAAGAGCAGTCAAACTGTTGGCATGATTGTAATAAACATTGACTCTTCTACCAAATTAGTGAATTTCATAGCCTTAGCACCTAAAAACTACATTCTATAGAATTTGACAATATTTAGACCCTCTTTGAGGTATATTTGAGCTGAGTCTAATCATTTGATTATTTAACAAAAAGTCTGTACATGATAACGAATATTTTACAGTATTTTATTCATGTAGATGAATGAAGACCCGTTTGTTTGAAATTTTGTTGAATTTTTTCCACCGTCCTTGTAGGTTTTGAAGTTTGTAGGTGACGTTAAACTTGGAATTAATCATCAAAGCTAGAATTCAATGGATGCTTATTCAATTTCATACTTGTCAGCTATTTCCTTTAAAAGGGGGGCCTGCAAGTCTACAAGAACAACACAAACCTGAAATATTTTAGTTGACAAGTGTCGGTATTGGGAGGGAATATGATCAATTATATCGTAATTCTTGATCCTTTCATTCGCACGTTCAACATGTATTCTACTCCTTCCAATCTTGTAGCATAGCTCTGCCTCCTCTTTAGTGAAATGACATTTATTTGATAAAAATGGTGGTATGTTAAGAGTTACACCTGCTGGAAGTTTGTCGAATACATTAAACCCCTTGTCTGCTAGAATCATGTCACCAGGCTGAAGCATATTCAGAACATTACAATGGTCAACTATAGCTGCATCTGAAGTTGATCCCGGGTAGAGGTCAGAGCAGTAAACTAAAGCACCATTTGGGGCTACACAAGTAACTGCCTTCACTGTGTGGCGACTCTTGTAATTACTAAAAGACAGTGACTGACTGTTAAAGGTCTGATGGAACATCTTGGGTGACCTCTGTTGCATCCATTGCTATGCGTGCACCTGAAAAATCTTCAAACGATCTGGGCATCGATCCTTGACATTTTACCTGACTGGGAATGCCAACTGCTTTCATTACTCCTTCAAACAATGTTTCATGAAGAGCACTTGCATACGTATTAATGATGTTAGAAATTGTTGCTCTGCTCGTGCCAAAACGATCTGCAAGATCAAGATCTCTACAGTTTAGTCTTAATTTCATCAGAGTCACAAGGAGCTGGTCAGCGACGCTAAAGCCTTTAACACTCCATCCCGCATAGTATGTAAAAGGACCCATTCTTTCCATAAGCATAGCTAATATGTTGAACACCTCAGCAGGGAAAGATGTATAAAGCAGCATCTGTAAGGATAAAATACTTATTCAATTTAATCAAAAAGGTACATGTATTAGTTTAGCTTTCAAAGAAGGGTTTAGCTCACTTGACCAACACACAGGGATTATTCCCCTTCATGGTGTTTTTAAAGATTTTGCAGTTAAAGTATATATCATTGAGGGAGTTAGCAAGATTCCCTATATCACTTAAAAAATAATGATTCATTGCTTAAATAACATTTGGCGAAGTGTTTGACGAAGATA